CGGCCAAAAGCAAGCCTTTCCTAGTCTGTTGCAGGCCACATTTGGACGTTTGTCGTGGCACAAAAACTAACATCCATAGAAGAGTTTGGTCTCATCTTGAACCGGAGCATCTGCAGATTAATTCCACACCCATTATGTTATGATCCACTAAAGTTAAAGGCACGATACGAGATGAATAAATCCCTGTTTTTGCTATCTTCTCTGTCATCTGGACTGTAAGGGAGCCCGGAGGGTCAACTGAGTGAGATTCAACGCTTCTTTGTTCGGAGGGTGGGAAAGAAGCTACTGAGTGCGCTTTTCTCCTCTTTTTATACTTCTCTCCTGCAGCAGTGTTGGAGGGAGCCTTGAGACTTGAAACTCTAAACAAAAAGCACTCACATTGTCTTCACTGCTGTATATTTACTGCGGTCTCTTAAATCTCCCTCCCTTCCATTTGCTCGCACCATAACATTGTCAGTAAACCACGAATTATGAGCCCACTGATTGTTACCATGGACACATGGCTGCTAGTTACTGAGTTAGCCTGTGGGTAGTACGGCAAACTATCTTTAAGATTAAAAGAAGCCAGTCTACATCGCATTAGACTAATCTAAGATCAACATTAAGACTGGCCGAACACTACCGGTCTAGAGCATCTTTGTGGAACCGGCCCCGGGGGGGTTTCACCATCATACGGGAAGGGGTCGCTTTAACACCACCTCGTCACGAGCTGATTGTTTGTGGAGTTTGCAGCCATGGGCAGATAATTGTAACTTGGACACAGGTTGCGGTCTAATAATATGATATTATTTATTGTATGCTGATATCTTTAAGTTAATTTAAATTCAAAATAGCGATTTTATTTTCCTCTCCTGCTGTTTTGTACATCTTTCTCTGGTGCAGAGGCTGTTGCACACTGTGTGGTCGAAAGAATAAAATAAATGAACGTATGACGTAGTAACGGCAGTAAATCAAGCACCACTACATCACTGAGAGAGAAGGGATAATGTGATATGAACGTGTATTAAATTATCATATGTGTATCAAGGCAACCATAAAAAAAATGTATACAAATGTGTTCTTCAACTTGGGTTCTACTGCTAAGTTATGATCTCAGTGAGATTCACACGTTTCAGTGCAGATGTTTTGGAGTTCAACACTAGTAATCAGACGGTTTAAAGAGTTGAACCAAACAAAAAAACTATTCCTTCAATCCAAGATATGTTCAATGTTTGCCTGTTTATAATCAAATGGAATGTCTAGTTGCCAGACCCTAAAGATCCGGATGTAACTATGACTCTGAACATCTCCTATTGCAGGTAAAGCGCTGTCTTTCCTCAGAGACATGACAGCGCTTCCATGTGAAAGCCTTCACCTCAGGCGTCTCTCAGCTTTCAAACTGTCAAACTGCAATCACCTGAAGTTCCTGATGAGAGCACGACACATCTGCTCTCCACTTCCTCTTTTCTTTTTTCTTTGGGAGGTTTTGCACTTTGAAGTTTCCTGCTCTGTATTTCTTTTACAGATTTCCTTTGTTTTTCAGATGCAAATGAGGAAACAACAGTGAATGTTTTGTCAATCGTGACACAATCAATAAAACTGCATCTGTAAAAACACTAAACGCTCACTGAAGACAGCAGAACATGAAACAACCCTCCAATCGAATCGAGCATTTACAAGTGACATCATTTAATCGTGACACAAAAGTGAGGCTACAAATACATGTTGTCATTGTGGAGATTATTGTGTGTGTTGCTAAATTCCAGGAATATTCAAGATGGAAACCTTACATGTGGATTAACAGGAATGTATGGGAAGTGTCTGCTAAGGCTGTCATATGCAGATAGAAAGTAACCGTTTACCATCATAAGCAGACATAATCCATTCATTTGCCAAATAGATCCATTAACTTCTGACTTTTTTTAGCTCTGCTGAGAAGGTGATCTACAATCTGCCCTCCCTCCAGGACCCTGAGGCGGGGAGGGAAACCTCACACCAGTTTCCCCTGCACCTGGCCTCATCAACAAGGCCCGGGACCCCGACTCACATGGCCTGTTATCCCCTTTCCAGAGACTCTACACGTTACACTAACGTCTTCACATCTGTTTGTATGTGTTACATTATGGCACATCTTTGGGACAATATCTCTGCATTGTATATTCTTTTTATATTTTGTACTGTGGCGCATTCCTCAGACAGTTTTGCACATTTCTGCACAAAACTGCACAGCAATTTCATTTCGTATTTATATATTGTATTATTTTATAACATATTTCCACGCGCCTTTTTTAATCTATTATGTTAATGTCATGCACCAATACACCAAAGAAGATTTCTTGTGTGTGGAAACCTGCTGGGCAATAAACCAGATTCTGATTTGTCAAATGTGACATGTGGTGAGTTAACTAGCAAGTCCAGTAAAGGTACTGTGAACATTTGAGCCCACATTGTGGGCTGTGTGCAAACTCAGGGTTTAAAGTGAACAATATATTTGAATATATTGTGAAATTGTGCAAAAAATCCAGAGCTTTTCTTCTCTTGGAAACTTTCCGTAAAATGTTCCAAAATTGCACCAAAAAATGTCTGCGTGCCGCCAGGATCGTCTGCAATGCCCCGGCTGTGCCATCAAGGAAACAGGGTTCACCACGTGAACCAGAGACAAACTTCAGACACGGAATGTGAACATGACAGACGGCTGTTATGAGGAAGTACAGTTCGCCCAAGATAAACACAGATGTTTACAGAGGAACCATTGGGAGATGCCTGATTCATATTCCTGCGCTCTGTGAGGGAACCAGGCGTGTCTAGTTCTGTGGCGGATTGCGCGTGCCATGTGATTTCTTTTTGATATGGACTAGAACTTTTTTAAATCCTTTGTCCGATGGTCTTCCATGTATTTGATAGGTGTGAGATTCAGTAGTGCATATACATTTGGCCCAACACAAGAAACATACTCCATAGCTGATAAAAAACTTGATGGAAGAGTTGGACGATAAGCCAAGAATCGTTGTTGTCCCGCCTCCCTGTCCCATAGCCCGGAGGTTATTGTGGTCGGTGGTTGTTTTGCCCGTTTTGGTAGTCGTTTTGCGTCTCTTTGTTGCTGTTTAGTGTCTCTTTGTGGTCATTTCTTTCCCCCCTGATTTCATTTTGAATCTCATTATAGTAATACTGTCTCTTTGTAGTCGTTTTTTGTTTCTTTGTGGTCATTTTGTGTCTCTCTGTGGTTGTTTTGATCTTTTTCATAGTCGTTTAGAGTCTCTTTTGCGTCTCTTTGCAGCTGTTTTGCATGTCTTTGTAGTTGTTTTAGTCTCTTTGTTATCTTTCTGAGTCTCTTTGTGCTCATTTTGAGTCTCTTCCTGGTTGGTACAGAGGGCCAGTGGTGCCCCGGACGCTTTGGGCCCCTGGGCCTGTGCCGGGTCTGCCCATTCAGTAATACATCCGTGTGCGTAGTCACATTTTTCAGGAGGTGTGCGGTGCGTCTCGGCGGCTCTCTGTGAGCTTCCAGTTCGGTGCAAGCTTTTCTGCAGAGGTGTAAATTAGGCATTAGGGTGTGAATGGTCTCTAGGCAACAGTCAACATGTCTCTAGCTGTCACTGATGTGTAGCGAGGTGAGCAAGAATGTTGCTTTTCAAACACTCAAGAATTTAAAACATTGAACAATTATACAGTGAGGCATATCTGTATTTAGTCTACTTTCACTGAAAACAATGGGGTGGACAAAATAATAGAAACACCTAAAGTAAAGTGTTCAACCGCACATTGAGAAACAAAGAATATTGTATATGCATACTGACTTATTTGACCTATTTGCCAGCGTGAATGCACGACTTACTGTCCTCAAAACACGCTTGGAAATGCACGATGTGGCCAAATGTTTGCGGACATATCTGTGAGTAGTTTTGGTTTAGGGCTGTTCTCCATGGTTTGGGCTTCTTAGAGTCAAGACGTTTAGAAGGGAAGACTTAATGCTTCAGCATACTGTGATAGCTGCAGTGATGCTTCCAATGTTGCGGCAACAGTTCGGGAAAGGCCCTTTCCTGTTTCAACATGACAATGCCTCCGTGCACAAAGCCAGGTCCATGAACAACAGTGTTTTTTCCCCAGTTTGGCATGAAAGCACTTCAAGTTCATCGGGGAAGAAACATCGCCCAACTTCAGTGGTCGATCCCACTATGACTAATGATCATGTGGCTGACTGGGGTCCAACAATCATGTGGAAGGCCTTTCCAGAAGAGTGGGTGCTAATATTTGTATATTAATGCCCTTTATTTTGGAATGGGATGCTAAATCACATATGGGTGTGGTGTTTGGGTGTACACATAGTTTATTTGGGTGTTAACGTAGATGGCCATGTAATAAAGTTTGTAGAATAAAATAAGGATATAGTTAACAAGTTAAAAGCCCCTTTTTAACTTGTTAGCTATAAACTTTTTGACTTACCCATGGAGCAAAACTTTGTGGTACATACTGAACATTGTATTGCTTGAAGCTCTGTGCCAGTTGGTGCTAAAAAGGTAAATCATTAACATTCCAAATAAAGGCTTTTAACTCTCTAAAAACAGTCACTTTCATTTTTTTGTGTGTTATTTTATTAGCTTTAATAAATCCGTTATCATGGATGTGTAAGCATTAGTTTATTCTCCACTGAGAATAAAGTGCATGGTTGTATGTAAGGGATTAAATAGCTTTAAATCACAACAGCATACAGTGATATAGTGGTAAAATAGCACTAAAGCCAGGTTGTAGTGAGCTACACAAACAATATGATATGTGTGCATCAGATATCATGGAAGTTATTTGGAAAACATTTCTATAACATTTCCTGCTGTGGTCAGAAAACTCGGCCAAAGAACATATTCTCCCAACTAAGTAAAAAAGAAGAAGAAAAAAAATCGCAGTACACAAAAGCAGAAGTAAAACAAGCCTGACAGTCACAACGACTCCAGTCCACCTTAAAACACAGCTCTGGCAGACTGTTCATACACATTTCCTGAAAACGCCCCGTGCAAGAGGAGAGAGAGAGAGAGAGAGAGAGAGAGAGAGAGAGAGAGAGAGAGAGAAGGAAAAAGTGACTATAATAATAATAATAAGGCTGCGTTGTTTATCCAAAGAAGGGGGATGGGTTGGACTTGTGGTGAATTCTGCGCCAAACTTTTCTAAATTGTACCCCCCAGCCCCCCTTCACACAAAACTTCACCGGTTTCTATTCGCACTACTGCCTCAATCTTACCCTCAACGCACCACCGACCAAGGTCAGTTTCAGTGTCCGCCCACGGGAACTGGCAACGCGGCACCAAACCTCCACGGACCCCGGCAACTTCTTCTCTCCCTTTTTTTTCTTCCGAACTTTGGAGTTTGACTCGCTGGCTGAACAAACGCGACGGACTAAAACACACTGACCCCTGTACACGGATGGAGAAAAGCTGCAGCAACGAAGGAGTGAATTAGCCGAACAAACGCTCGTTGAACGTTCAAGTTTGTGTGCGTTAAAATCGAAGTGACACCATGTTGGGAAACCCGGGGTCTTACGCCAACAAGAAGAGGAAGAAGCCTGTTCTCAAACAGTAAGAAAACTGTTGTGTGGCTTTCAAGCTTTTCTCTTTGCATTATGCGTTCAGCTGTTGTGGCTCTGCCTAGTATGTGAAACTATAAGCGTACATTTTTAAGCTAAAGGTATATTTGGGTACGTAAACGCACCATGCAGACCGCCTAACTGACTTTCAGTTCAGTGAATAAAGTGCTGCTGTTATAACCGTAGACTGTATGTGCTTATAACTAAATACATGTGGTTAAAATGAGTTTATGCTTTATTTAAAAGTTGTAATAAATTAGATTATTAAATCAGACGTCTTTTTGAAAATGAGAATAAACCTAATTGAGGTTGACCTCGTCCTCGTGTATCGTTATTATATCGATTATATATCCATAACTGAGCAGCAAAAGTACATCAGAATAAGGAGTAACACCCGCTGAAGTGTGCTCTTGTGTTTTTTGTGTTGATGATTAGGATCTCTCTTTTTTGGGGGGGTTTGTTTCTCGACTCTCGCGGACTACCTTAAGAATGCGTCTAGCTTTGGATCTGGCATGGATATCTTGCCCTCGCGCATTAATCACAATCAAGTTGGAGACTCGGCCGCTGCTCTCACGCGATGCTCCGAGGAGGGCGGAGGGGGGGGGGGGGGGGGGGGGGGGGGGGGGGGGGGGCGGGGGCTCGCGGGATCCGAGTATGTTATTGTAATCTGATACGGCCTCCCGCTCCATCGTTGTGTGTGTGTGTGTGTGTGTGTGTGTGTGTGTGTGTGTGTGTGTGCTGTACTGCCTGTTTCTCTCCTTTTTCTTTAACCCTCTTGTTTCTTACCTTTTTTAAAGTTTATTTCACAAACTTGTTGTACTACAAGTATTAATACTGCTATAGAGTAGTATTGCATTACAAATACAAGTGTTTTCGTTCATACAATAATCAAATGTACTCAACTATAAGTTAAAACTCGGTTCAGTGTTTGGTTATTGGTGTATTAACACACACGCAGTAACTTTGTTAATGTTTGAGCTTGTCCAGGAAGTATTTTGTGGTACTCCTTTAAATGCATAATGTGTATGTTTTAAACAAACAAAAAACAATAGTTTTGTTTTTGATTAATCTGCAGATTACTTTGTGGTGTAAATGTCCAAAAATAGAGGAAGAATTCTGAGGGGACAGGTAGACAAATGTAATAATAATATAAATATGATTAATATCTGATAAATCATCTGTACAAGAAGCTGTTTGTTCTTCTCAGGAGTTGGTGGAGACCCAAATAGAGCTAAAAGGAGAGTGAATAATGGACGTCCGTTGACCCAAAGTTTCAAACTTTAAAATGAAACTTATAGTAACGCCAGCCTTCTGGTAATTAAAGGCATATTTTCCTTTGGTTTACATTAATGTAATGTAAACACTGCGTCATGTGCTTAGCTTCCCATGTCAAACTGGTGACCATCATGTCATTAAAACCCACATTAATTAGATGTAAACGGAAGGCCTTGCCCTCCGTCACAATTGAAATATGAATTAAAGTGATCGACGTCTGTCATAATGTAGGGATTAACAATAGACAACAAGCTAAATCCAAGTAAAGCGTTGTTTACATAAGCAATATTTGTAGAAATGTAGCGGTACTTTTAAAATGTAATTACAGTACTTTAACAGTTATTTTAAATTATATTGTTGTTGTTTTTCGGGGGGGGGGGGGATTGTCCATCCGGTCCATTCTTCTTCTTTTTTTTTGTATTGGTGAAGCAACGCGACAAAAAAAATACATATAGTGACATAAAAGTGAAAGACGGACGTAAAGACAATAACATAAAGCCGTTACGATGACGTAGGTGATGGGATGAAAGAGTCCGGGAGGACAGATGTACACTTAGAATGATATTGTTGAACACAGACGAGGCAGCGGAGTGGAGTATAGATATGTGTGACTCGGTTACAGGCCGTTCCCAGTGTAAAGTCCCAGAATAAGGCGGTGGGCCGTGTGCAGACGTCTGTGTTTATCTGAAGACGTGGGGCTGTGCAGCGAGGACTGAGGTTTCCTGGACGGCCAGCTGGGCTCCGCTGCACAAAGGCACCATTGAGCCCGACTGTAAAAAAAAAAAGCTGTGGTCACTACACAGGGCATTCCATGGCAGATCTGCCCGTCCAGAATTCTCTCTTTTATTACCGTTCCGCCTTCTGCGTATGTTGCCAGTCTCCTTTCGCCGAGCATCCTGTTGCATTATTAAATAAACATACCCGTGTAACGTATCCTACCTACCACCAGAGGAGGAAAAGAAGCCTTCCACTCTAAAACAGTCGCTATTTTTAAGTCCGTATGCAAGCAACATTGTCTTCGTGCATTTAACTCCTTAAACTCTGCGTCATGTGCTTAACTTCACATGTGAAAAATGCAAACTCACAAGTTCCAAACTGGTGACCATCATGTCGTCATTAAAACCCACATTTCTACCTCAACTCTCCTAAACTAATAAGTTAAGGACAACTGGCAGTGACTTATTGCATTGCTTTTGCTAAATTGTCTATCTGCAGCTGAAGTGCAGCACTGCTGACTGCCAGGGAATCAAAACTAACTTTTAAACTCGGCCTCAGCTTTTGGTCGCTGAAACAGAAAACATGGTTGCCATTTCTTAGTCACCTTGTACTTTGAGTAGTTAAGATTTGATGCAGTTATATGTCAGCTTAATAGTGAACACATGTTTCCATGTCATGTGTACGTTGCTTTGCAGGATTATTTTTGTCTTTGTCAGTCGAGTTACTTTCACAGACTCGCTGGTGATGTTGACGTGTTCGTCGAAACGTTTCACGTCACGGCCAAAAGGCTGAATGTAGTTTCTCCATCGTCTCTAGAACAGAAGCCTGTTGTGCACACCAGTAAACACACAACGCACGTACAGCATCTTTCTGGTTCCACCAATATTTAAATATCACTAATGCAACAAATATGAAAACAAATAATTATTTATTTTGGATGCACATTGTGGTTGCCACCGGTGGCAACCACAATGTGTCAACAGCCAAGAATAGGTTGCCAATTTCTCAAGTTGGTTGCCAGTAGCCTGGCAGCCCTCACTGCCCTGAACCACACTGACAACACAGGAAACTCATTTGAGTGTCTTTGTCCTCTCAGCCCGGTGCAGTCGTGTTCTTCAACAGTTGCAGCACTCCGACAGGTTGCTGTGGAAATATGAGTTAATTATAGTGTGTAGCCCCTCCCCCTCCCCCCAGAGAGCACAGTGGTAATGTGTACTTAACACTGAGAGAGAGTGGATTATGAATTATATGCTTCATAGTGACTAAGCATTTATTTTAGCAAACAATGGAATCCTTAATAAGACTGGATCATATTCTTAAGCAGTGTAAATGTGCTTTGCACAGTAATCCAAAGGGATTGTGAGAAACACACACACACACACAGGCAGACATGCTGATAAGAGGTTTGGCACAACACCAAAACACTCCCGGCAACAAAGTTGCCCTTTGTTCTTTGCCCTTTGTTTGGTTTTCAAAGAGCAGTCTTCACAAACTCCGGTGAGACACTTTATTATCAACGTGCTTACAGGACAAAGCTGTCTCAGTTTATGAAAAATAAAGCTGTGTGCACGGCTAACGATAGAATACTGTAGTTTGGTGTGTTTGTTAAAGCTGTGTTAGATCACCAAACCTAGCTTCAGGTAAAATATAGGTTTTGTTATGTTATAATTATAGTGTGTGGTGTTATGGATATGAAATGAGGCCGTTGTTGCTCAGGCGGTAGAGCTGGTTGGCCGTTAACAGTAAGGCAGGAGGTCTGATCCCCGGCTGTACTTCCACATGTTGATGTGCTCTGAAGGAAGAACCCGTCCTGTAACCCTGAACCCTAAACGTTGGAGACAAAGTTTTGAAGCGTGTCTGTAATCTAAACAATGGCTCATGCCCGTAACGTGTTCTCATTTTTCCAGACACGAGTGCTATCCCAGCAGCATCCCTAAAAAGTATTTAAAAAACCACTTTGCATGCGTGACAATAAGAAGCACGCTTCATTGGACAAAAGAACCGGCTCCTTCCCAGAATGCTTTACTCTGGCCAAACCAGTTCCAGCCCAAGAAAAACAAAACCGTTTTGGTGCAAACCTGACCTGCAGCCAGTGGTTGCGGCTCGCTCCCTCCCAGAGGATGGGAGTTGTGAAACATCTATAGAAACTTCTGCATCCAATCTCTCCAATTGTATCCACATTGCAACACGCTTCAAACACTCCTTACATACGTTACTCTGTGAGTCATGCTATGGCCTCTGCACTGAATGCACTGAATGCAGTGAATGCACTGAATGCACTGGATGCACTGAATGCACTGGATGCACTGAATGCACTGAATGCACTGGATGCACTGGATGCAGCGAATGCACTGGATGCACTGGATGCAGCGAATGCACTGGATGCACTGAATGCACTGATGCAGCGAATGCACTGAATGCACTGGATGCACTGGATGCACTGAATGCACTGGATGCACTGAATGCACTGAATGCACTGGATGCACTGAATGCAGCGAATGCACTGGATGCACTGAATGCACTGATGCAGCGAATGCACTGGATGCACTGAATGCACTGGATGCACTGAATGCACTGATGCAGCGAATGCACTGGATGCACTGAATGCACTGGATGCACTGAATGCACTGGATGCACTGAATGCACTGAATGCAGTGAATGCACTGGATGCAGTGAATGCACTGGATGCACTGAATGCACTGAATGCACTGAATGCAGTGAATGCAGTGAATGCACTGGATGCAGTGAATGCACTGGATGCACTGGATGTTGTGGCGACGTGGTCCTTGATTTGTTTTTTGAATGCCGCTTCGTAATTTAGTTCTGCGCTGTATTATGCAGCTGGAGAGGACCACATTTACCACATTTTCTGTTTTTTTTTTGAAGTAACAGAAAACCTAAAGTTTCCGTGCAGCATATGTTATTTCTTTGCCTCTCTGTCTGGAACCAAGGCCTGCTATTGTAAACTCTCCTCCTTCCACATTTTGAAGTCTGTGTTTTCCAGCAGCCAAAACGTGTACAGAAAGCAAAGCGTGCTTTTTCCTCCTTTAGAACCGCTGAGTCATCGCTCTGGATCGGGCAGACGAATGTGTGTCAGTGTCATTACGGCCGAGTGCAGCGCGAGCCGCCTTGACTCTGAGACAGAGGTGGGCGGGTTCAGACCTCTACGCTGTTGCTCTTGAGATAAGGAACCACATAGAAAACTGAGTGATGAGGTAGAACATCCTACAATGGACATCTTGAAGTCTGCTGCTCAGCCCCGTGATCCACAGCAAATCAAGGTGGAGGAGAAAACAAGGTTGTGAATGCTGGCCTTTCTCTCCGCGAGGCATTTCTTGAGAGTGAGATCAGGCTGGCTCCATGTGTGACAGAAGGTAGAGCTCAGGTCTGAAGCCAGCAATCAAGTTCAGGCTTCATTCCCCACTGACTATTCAGAGGCAGAGGAGGACATTTTATAGCCTATCATTAACCAAAGTTTCGGTATAAAGAGAGAAAAAATTTCGGGAGGAATTTGGGTCGGTAATTTACATGCTGAGACGGCAGATATGCTTCAGTAGAAATAGACCTGGAGAAGTGGAGGAGGCTTTTAAGAGATGGAACCAACTGCTTTGATGTGATTAGGTTGGGCCAGTCTGATACAGATCACTGATTGGTTCCTGTTGATACATCTTAACAGAGAAAACTCCTGCCTAATAAGGACATCTGACTTATTAAGACTGAGCCTCTTGTCTGAGACTGACCCATAAAGGCCCGGTTATGCTCCCAAACAGCTGCGAACGCCACGCAGCCGTAGTGGTTCTGTTTAAACCAGGGCTCAAAAGCAAGAGGGGAGGAACTGGCAAACAATTTGTGGCCTCTTGGTTGCCATCAGTGGCAACAACTTTCTAACATAAAAAAACAAAAATAAGGAGAGCAAAACATGCACCCCAAAATCTAAACATTTTTTAATATTTGTTGCATTGGTTATATTTGAATTGTTGTTCCAGTCAGAACAGGAACCAGACAAGTCTGCACATGCATTTACTACACAGCATTCATATCTCATCTATTAATGTAATCATATTAAGGATATTTGTAGTAAATGTCTCATTTCTATGCAGTCCAGTGTCAGCACACTTTACACCCAGCTGCATAAATCCAATACCATCAATAATCATTTCGCAGCGCGGGCGTCTTTAAAGTAAACAGATCAAATCAAATGATACAGATTTATTCTTGCTGGGTCCTGATCCTCATTGCTGTTAGTGCAGCTCCACAGATATGACAACGCTCAGCTGTCTCACAGAGGGATGCAATGATTGGCTGTCTGCATCATGTCCATGTCTGTGATTGGACAGCAACAGTCAGCCTGCTGCTGCTGTCAGTCCAAACAGCTGTAGACTCTTGCTTTCACTCTCACACTATAGGCCTCGTGAATGTTTAGTCTGACCATAAAATGACAACAACCGTTTCCAATTAAGCCAATTAACCCTGATAATTGGTGCTATTAATGTCTTTCACAGCGCACACAGAGAGGCCTTTGTGCATTAAAGACACGTTTGTGGCAGTGGGCTTGGCGCTTGTCAGGATTAGTTCATTGAACTTGGTTAAACTAAAAAACGGATTGGCTCATGCTTATTAACATCACATTCGTCTCATTGGTGCATAACCTCGTTACCCCGGCTGACTCCTCGCTCCTTCTGCTAGATGCGACCGCTGCCTATAAAAGCGTCCGGTCTGGTGGAGGCGAGCAGACGGCAGCTATGCTTTCCCACCCATTTCAGGATGTAAGCCTTTCGACATTCAACCACTGAACTAAATAAATGCATAAAAAAAGTTCAAAATTAGGGAAAATACATTATGAGATACAAATTTTGAGTTGCTACTTATCCTCCATTCTTCTCCCGGCAGGAAAGAGCTTCCCTATCTATAAGCCGTAAGTGTTTTTCCCAGCAGGTGTGCGGTGGAGGAATGGCGTCCCCATCGCACACCCTCTCACTCGCACTCGGTCTCACTCCCGGTGCAGCATGTGTGTCTGATTTGTGAGTAATGACATGTATCTCCAGCCAGCGTTGGGTGGTCTCACTAAGTGAAAGGGAAGCGGAGCGAATAAAGCTGCCGTCATGGTGAAAGATGCTTCTGTCAAACGACATAGTATATACGCAGTCAACGGAGTGACTTGTGGTAACGTTCTATATCTTCTATTCTGGCGTCTGTGTAATTCATTGTGAGCTGAAGATTGTGTCCTGGAGGAACAAACACACACTGTGTTGTAGGAGACAGAAAGTGGACTGGAGCTGTTGGCTGATGGCGTTATTTCACGTTCAGACAGTGGGCAAGTAGACGAACCGCAGACAGTCCACCAGTAGAACATTTAAGAGGCAGGTTTTTATTGTTTTATGCTTAACAGCAGCAGTCAGGAGGGGTTGTCACGATATTATATCGTGTGATACTGTATTGAATCTCAACAGCACTGACGGTTTTAATTAATAGTTGCTTGTGATTCATAGATTTATTTTAAACTGTTTTTGTGATGAGTACTTGCAACAGTCGCAATTTCGCATCACTGTTGGTACGAATAGTTTTAGATGCAAAATATTCGCAGGCAAGTATTAAGTATTCTGGTATTTATTTGTCATGCCTCCGGCGGTGTGTGAAGTCCTGAAGACCAGGGCTCTGGTTTACGGTGCTGGACTTCCAGACTTGGTGGTGCATTCAGCGGCCCTGGAGAAAAACCTTTATGCAGCCGAGTTCAGTGCGATCTGTTAAGTCACTGCGCAGATCAATCAAACACCTGCTCTGTATGGAGAGCCGAGCTAACGTGAGGATCTGGAAGAATGCTGATTGTGCATTCTACTACTAAAGACCTCATTCCTCTATCTACACTCATCATGGGAGCTGATATCCTGTTGACTGATCCGCACTGTTAGTCACAATCATGGCTGCGTGTTTTTATAGTAGGTTCAAAGCCGTCTGCTGAGAGTTAAAACGGCTCATGTCTGATGTGGAATGTGTCACAACAGATGTCATGCTCCGGCAGAGCCGGTTCACCAGGCCTGAACTGAATCAGCCCTGATTCACAGTCTCGATGGCGGGCTTTCTCATTCAGCATATGTGGCCCTTCAATAACCGACTGTGTGTGTTTTTCCTCCCGCTCCACAGGAAGAAGGCCTCTGAAAGCAATGACGTCGTCAAGTCGAACCCTTCAAAGCGCCACCGGGATCGGCTGAACGGCGAGCTGGACCGGCTGACCGACCTCCTGCCCTTCTTGGGGGAGGTGCGCTCTCGTCTGGACAAGCTGTCGGTGCTGCGCCTCAGCGTGGGTTACCTGAGGGTCAAGAGCTACTTCAAAGGTGAGGATCGGTCGGCACCTGGAAGTGGTTTCTAGAGCGGCGGCGCATGCAGATGCGAGGCAGGAATGTGAAGCATGCAGGAATCTGGTTTTCGGAAATAACACATCCTCGATACTTGTAACCTTACTCCGCCCGCTCTGTCAGCAACACTTACAATCGTCACTATTAAAGAAACACGCTTTTGTTTGCCTTAAGATCCACATCCACACTGTATGTTGATTAAACTGCAAGCACCCTGGCTTTGAATGATGAGTCAGTTATGTGTGAGTCACACATATAATATGTCCACCACTCGCAGATGATTCAAACAGACATGTTAGCCGAGGTGTTGGCAGACAGGCTCCTGAGGAAGTTGCGCGGTTGCCTCGGGGCTCCACTGATGTTGTTACAATATCCGTGTCTCGTCTCGGTTGCTTTTTTTGGTGCATTTTCTGTGCGTTGTTCTGTCTGTGCTATCTCCTAGCTGGACATGTTGCACTGGATCTGTGTGCGCAACAAAAAACCCGACTGAATCTTGGATTTATTGTCTAGCTTGTTGGCCAGCGGAGTAGTGGCTCGGGCTGGGGGTCGTTTAAAACATCATGATACCAGTTCCAATGCGTAGAGGCATTCCAATGGAAGCTGTGTGTTCCACTGGCGAGCTCATAGTGTTTACCCGCTGGACCACCCTGTGGTTCCCCACAGTTTCTACACCGTTAGATTGAAACTCATTCAGCACTGTTGTCGTTGTTAGCGCTTTTAGCATCGTTAGCTGCTAGCCTGCTGGCTCAGACATCTCTGCGTTCACAACCATAATCCTGTTTGCACGGGTTGCAGCTGCTGCAGTACTGTCTTTCTTGTAAATCCAGGCACAAAGCTGATTGAGTTTCGATACTAAATGTGCACAGAATGTATTCGGTCGCCATGATGTTATCAGGATTAGACATCTTTGTAGTCTTATTTAGTTTCCTTATTGTTGTGCTAGTACGTTATAGCAGTCGTCTTTCTATAATGTGATTTGTGCAACCTGTTATTAGATGCGATGTAAACCCAGTGAAAATATAAACGTAACAAAAGGAAAACCTAAAACAGCCCAAATGCATTTCTGAACATCGGGGGTGAATGGATGTGTAGTCATCAGACTCGTGACATTCCAGCGCTGCTTGTTCTCACAACCTCTTGCCTACTTATCTTTGCTATACAGGCTCGATGGGCTGAAAGGCTGTAGTTGCGCCATCATGTAGTCGTTTCTATAAACTCTGCTCAATTGCATTTACAACAGGACCTTTCTAATCTATGGGAAACTCTGCACCAGCTTTCATTACCTGTATTTAAATATAAAAACCTAGTTTTCCATGCAAAGGCAGGTTCAACGTGGTTTTCCTCGACGGTATTAATAAATGGACAGACATTTCGCATGTGGAGCATCAGCGGAGCCGTATCAAATACTTGGGGCCAGATGTTTCGTTGACGCACATGCCCTTTCTCAAACGTAAATGTGTGTTGATAAATGAGGAACTTTGCGTGAGAATGTGTGCACCTCGTGCATATATCAGAACATGGTTTTATAGTGCCAGACAGGAAAAAGTGAGAAATTAAGAGAGAGATTTATATGTGAATAATGTATCTAAAGTTCAGTACAGTGCGCGATGCAGTTTACACCCCTATCAATTCAAATGGTGCCAGTGTGAAAGAAAGAAAGTGTGCTTGACAGTTGACACTCTATAAACCTGATGCAAATATGGGCATGCATGCATTTTTCTGATTTTATGCATCAGATCCTGTTAGAAAAGAAACGTTTGACAGCTTCCTCCTCTCCTGAACTCCTCTTGGCATTTAACAGTCCTTAACCAATCACAGCATGCCGTCCTCCTCATTTAACCAACACAACCATTTTTCTCCCACCGTCTTAATTTTTCTCCCGTAATGCTCGAGGCAAAGGTCAACCAAAAACATCCCGCACTAAGGTTGCATCAGCCACAGAAAACAGAAATGAAAGGTCTTTGTAATTCACATTGGAAAACAGAAACTGTTGAAGGTGTGTGAGCTGATTTAAAGGTCTGCGGTAATGGTGCTGAGTTTGACCACTAATAGACTCTTGGAAACGCTACAACGGCACATTTTAAAATAAAATTTTTTTTAAAACTCAGCTGTCGTCGTTATCTTCAGACCGTCGTGGAGATTTTGACGGTTTGTCACTTTGTCCTTCTTCTTTGTGCAGCTTTGTGCATCGCAGACGTCCTCCTGCAGCTGGTTTGTTTGTGCCTCTGCTCGTCTCACCGTCTCCTCCAGTTCGCTTGACATTGGCTGTTATCCGGGTCTCTGAATAGACGTGGCCTGTAGCGATCACAATCACATGTCCCATCTAACAGCCCATGTGCAACCCATCACCCCCATAAATACTGCTGCTCTGTCACCGTAGACCTCGCTCACTGTGTACCATTCCACAAGATTAGCAGGTAATAAGACCGAAGGTATTGATGAAATAGTATGTCGCTCATTGGTTTATGTAACTAGACATAAACTAATCTAGTTATTGATACAAGCAGACAGCATTACTCTGGGTGAAATGAGTCGCTTACCGGATCGGTCAATTATCATTATGTTTCAGCTGTTATGTTTCAGTGCTTATCGTCTCTCTACTATTCAAGATATTCATTGTTTTCTGAGAGGAGAAACACGAGTAAATAGCTGTTAGCTGGAAGAACAGGAAGTGTGTGAGACGAGTTTGAAGCGTGGCATTAACATAGCATCTGTGGTATGTTTACATTTAAAGTGTGAGAGCTTACAGAGAGTCACGTGTTCACATGTCGTCTGAGTTGTGCACGTCGTGCAGTTTGTCAGGTCTATTAAATGATCTCAGCTTTAACAGGACATTCAAGTGGCCCAGGAACATGGAGTCAACGAAGCTGTTAGCGTTTTCCAAGGAATGATGTCGGATCCGGTGTTAAGAAGACATACACCAGCTTCTGTCTTCCATCTGTCTCATGTGAGGCCTGTAGCTTCATGGAAATCAATGGAGCACACCTGTAGATGCATTTGGATGTGTAAAATAGGAATTTAAATTACAGTACATAATGTATACAGTAAAAAATTGAGTTTTGAATTGAATGGAGAGGCCAAAGTCCCGCCCTTTTCTGTGGACCACGATGAGACCTTATTGGTGATGGGTCCCATAGGGACACTGGAAGGGGACGGGCTTCGCCTATCTATAAATCGGCCCCATTGTTACCGATATCCGACTCAGCCTGAAAGATAGTGAGGGAGAGCCGGCGTCCATGTGTGGGTGATAAGAGAACAAGAGAAAGCAAACCTACCTTGTAATTATGCAAAGCAATTGTACATAATTCTACGGTTTAGCAGTAAATTGCAGCGCGCAAACTCCACTGCAGACTGGAGTCTCCACTAACGGCAACAATCACAGATGAACCCGCGACAGTCGTCCCGTACGAACAGGTCCAGCAGAGGATAGACGCCTGTCTGCTGCGGGGAGGAGGCATCAGGGTGTGGATTAAAACAGAACAGCCCCCTGAACGCTTTTACAGGCGTCAAACACGTTCTAGACAGCCTGCAGATATGCAGTGTCAGCCCCGCCAAGTGTGTGTGTGTGTGTGTGTGTGTGTGTGTGTGTGTGTGTGTGTGTG